TACTTTTACTATTTGCAATGATCACATACTTTATTAAAAAAAAAAATTAAACCCTATATATAGGCCTACTTTAAAAAAAAAACCCTTTCATTTACATTTCTTATATATTTTTCTCCCTACCCCACCCCAGTCCCTTCCAATACCCCAACACCAGGTAGGAGAGAGAAAGGGTTAGTATTGAAGGGGGTGTAGTTCTTTTAACTGGTTCCTGCTGGCTAGGGTCATTGGGTTCCTTGAAACAATCCTTGTTTCAGGAGATCTCTGACTTCTTGTCTCATGACAGCAACCAGAAACAGCCTTGTTATTTCTCTGAGCCCTGGGCTCTGGCATTTATTCTCTCTCCAGAGTCCTCAGATTTAAACTATCTGCAGCTGTCAAAGAGCCCCTCTCAGAGGCAAACAGTCTGCTGCTGTGGCCCATCTGAGTCAGTCCCACATCCCACACCTGGGACCAAAACAAAATCATGTTTATATCCACAATAACTGTATATTCTTTTTTCTGTTTTTAAAAACCAGAGCTTGACATCCTACAACCTATCATGTGGGAAAGTTCACTCTTCTCTAAGTGGAGGGAATAGCTGGCAGGTTGAACCTTCCTGAGGAATTAAATCTCTCTTGTTTGATAGATAACCGACAGCACACATGAAAACACAGGCTTAACAACATAGCCAAAGCCTGTTTCACTCCAGTTTACCTTCCTGCCCCCACAGCCACCATGTCTGTCTCTAGACTTCTGGATCCCTCTAAGCCTTGACTGATTTAAAATGTTTTCAGCGTATGGACCTCAACTCTGCAGCCATTATCTCTGGGAAGTCTTCTTTAGGCTGAGTTCTTCACAAACCGATCCACTGGGTCATGTTCTTTTTCCCCCTTGCATCTCTTGGATGCAAATTTTGTCTAATATCGATGTGTGTTCTCTTTCACAAGACTGTTAACCGTATAAGGATTTGCTCATTATTGCATTCCCAGAGTTTGCACATCACCAGAAGCCTCAGAGGGACTTCAGTATTTCTGGTATGTGTGAATAGATCAGAGTAATGAGACCGTGGGATTCAGAAAGAGATAGGAGAAAGGTCTTCATTGTGCGTACCTCATTTTGCCCATCTAAGGAATGATTGCTGAGTGTCTATTTCACCTCTTCTATACACTTTAGAAAGATGAAAAATATTTTTAAAGAGAGTTCTTGAGATTTGGAAACATGCTGCAACTTGGAAAGATGAGATAACATAAACAAATATGTAACATTAAGTTATATATAAATTATATCATAGTTTAAATGTAATTATTTTAAATTTTAACATCATTATATCATGTTTAGACCGTAGTAATAACATTTTATCTTGATTATATTACATTTCAAAGATAATTAGATCATATTATATGCCATGATTAATTCTTATACTGGAACTGGAATTTTATCATGCTTTAAACACAATTTAAAACAACCTAAATTTTATATCATATCCATATGAGCAAAGGATATTCAACCCGAGCATCTTTTAAATGCAATCTGATAGTGGTATCCTTCTCATTACTATTCTTTCTTTTTCCATTTTTCCTTTTAAGATAAATTTATTCATTTTTAAAACTTCATACACATGTACTGTATTTACATAATTCTTATTCTTGTAGGTCCTTTTGCTTTCTCAGGATCTCTCTCTCTCTCACTGTCTTTTCTTCTTGTTCTTCTTTTTCCTTTCTCTCACTCCATCTCTCTTAGTCTCTGTGAATATGTGTAATATATTATAAACTGTTATATTTATATTTACAACATACAATGTGTTTTGATGTTACTTGACAGAATGCTAAGTTAATTAGCATATCAATTACTTCACTTGTTCAGAGTTTTACTATAAGAACACTTAAAACATATTAACTTAATATATGTACTGCTTGGATTTTGTCATCTTGACATAAACTAGACACACGTGAGAGGAGGGACCTTAAATGAGGAACTGCACGTTCAGAGGCCACATTTTTCATATTAACGGTTGATGTGGGATGGCCATGCCCGCTGTGGGACAGTGGCCCCCCTGGGCAGGTGGCCCTGGGTTTGTATAAGAAAACAAGCTAATATACCATTCTTGAGCATGTACCTAGAGTAGTGGTTCTCAACCTGTGACCTGTGGGTCACGACTCCACAGGGGTCGCATATCAGATATTTACAGTTATGAAGTAGCAATGAAAATAATTTTATAAGCGGTGGCCACTAGAACATGAGGAATCGTAGTAAAGGCTCGCAGTCTTAGGAAGGTTGAGAACCACTGGACTATGGGATGCATCATCCTGCTATGGAACACTTGCTCAACCATGTTCATTGATGATATTGGAAACAACCTATCTGTCCATCAGTGGGTGCGTGGACAATGAAACTGTGGTGTCTCCATAAGATCACTCCCCTCGGGACTCAGGGAACTATGCGGAAGAGGAGGCAGGAAAAGTGTAAGGGCCAGACGAATAGAAGACACCAAGGAAGCAAGGCCTCCTAAACACAGCATGACCCCCACACTCGAACCCACAGAGATGATGGCAGCATGCACAAGTCTGCACTAGATGGGGGTCCTAGGGCTGAGAGAAGAGATGGACACTTGCCCCCACCCCTAACCCCAAAGCTATCGCCATTGCCAGTTGACAACCAATTGCAAACAGAAAAATTAGTTTTCTTCAAGGAAGTCTCATGGGGAAATAAACCACTCTTAAGGGTAGTCTTGCTTAAGGGTACTGCTTGCCCAGCAATAAATGCCAACACAAAGAAGAGCTCAAAGGCATCTCTCTCTCTCTCTCTCTCTCTCAACCTTACATGTGGTTTGCTTAGAGGTTATAGCTTCTGGTTTTGTGTTTTTACGGGATTTTTTGTATGTGAACATGTGTATATCTGTCTTTATATGTTTCTTGTGCTTTTTCTTTGGCTCTTTTTCTTGTTTCTTTGTTCTTGTTCATCTTATTTTGTTTGATTATTATTCTGTAGCTCCCGTCTATATTTTAACAAGAGACAGAAAGGGTATGGATCTGGATGAGAAGGGAAGTGGGGAGGAACTGGGAGGAGTTGGGGGAGGGGAAACCAACCATAATCAGAATGTATTATATGACAAAAATCTAATTTTCAATAAAAGAGAAAAATGTTTTAAAAAAGAAAGCTGAGTGCGTCCTGGGAACAAGCTGTTCAGCAGCAGTCCTCATGGTTTCCGCTTCAGTGTCTGCCTTGGCTTCCTTCAGTAATGGAACAGAAACCCTGCCAGCACAACATTCAAACATACAATAGTTATTAACTCTAACTGCTGCCTTATGAAATAGATCTGTTGAGCTCCCTCACTTAGCCAGATGTAATTTTACATCCTAAGATGAACATCTTCTTAATCCTTGCTTCAAAACCCTGGTAACCATCATTTTACTCTCCGCTTCTATGAGTTCAACATTTTTATGTTGTCTGCTTATCTGTTACAGTGCCAGGGATCAAACTCAGGGCCTTGCATATGTTAGGAAGTGCTCTACGGTACAGCTGTAATATGAATTGTGTGGGTAAATCGTTATGTGTGCTTAGTGCTTATTGAGGGCAGATTGTGGGAGCAAATAGGGCCCGGTCACCAGAGACTTAATTTTGTTTATTTCAAAGTGTCCTCCAAAACTCCCTGTACTGAGTCAGGCTGGCTCCTTGGCTCTGTAACAGAGAAAAAAATATATAAATAACTAGGAGCATTAAAGTCATAGTGCCCTTGAGAACCGTTAGAGGGAAATCCTTTTGAATAAAAGTCATTTTTGTGCCTTCAATAACATGAAAGTGCTTCTAGTGGGATCGGGGGGACAGTGGGGAGACCACTCCACTTGAACAAGACTCTTGGTTAAGACTCATTTTCCTGTACTGGAGAGTGTGCCCAGGACCTCACGCATGCTAGGCAAGTGCTCCGCCATTCAGCTGCCTTCCCAGTTCCTATTATACAAGATTGCCTTATATGCCTTAATGTATTTTTTTAGCATGTGCAAGACATGATCTGGGTTTGGTCTTTAACACACACACACACACACACACACACACACACAGAGAGAGAGAGAGAGAGAGAGAGAGAGAGAGAAGTTTTGTTTTGTTTTTGTTGTTTTAATTCTGCATTTGAGTTTGCAGCACAACCTAAGCTCCTTTATACTTGAGTTACAAAGAGCAATGAATTCCTAACGAGTTTCAGATGCCATTGAAATGATAATACATAGTTTTAGGTAAATTTCTAGTTTAAGGGCTCTGGTCCGTGATCTAGGTTCTAAATGAATTTTCTTTGGCCTGAATGGAGACCTAGCATTCCAAGCTACCAAAATATGAAAATGATAACCCAACTGGCAGATCAATCACCTAGCCAAGGGATCACCTCTTCGGAAGGCAGGTTCACCTTGTGCCACTCTAAAGAGACAGGAGACATGATTATCTCTCTAATGAGACATTGTCCCTTCTCTTTCCAGAATTCCTACCTTCTAGTACCGTATGCAGACCCACCAAGAGTTTCTACTGGGTCTGCCTGCTTTCTGAGTTCTGGCTCAGAAAGCGTGCTTCCTTTTCTTCTTTTTATTTCTTTTCTAAGCATGCTTTCCTTAACACAGGAACTCCACGCTTTCTCTAACACTGCCCTCCTAGGCTGCTTGTCCACCACGTGGCTGACCTACACGCCTGCCTAACTCAAACAATATGGCTTCCCCTTCTCCTCCTCCCCCTCCTCCTCCACCTCATTCTCCTCCTTTCCTGCTTCCTTCTCTATCCTCTATTTCCCTTCAGGCAGCTGCTAATTTATAATTTGCCTGCCTTGGAGAGTTTTTCTTTCAAACTCTAAAACAAACAAAAAAATTGTGTATTAAATTAAAACAAATCAAACAAAAAACATCCCAACAAGGTATGGTTGCACGCTCACAGTGATGGGTGTGAGCTCCTTCACTGTGGTATTTGGAGATACAGACGCAAGACGAACAACCTCAGAGCTGGAGTTGAAGACACTTTTCTACAGCAGTTCTGGTGTCTAGGACATGGGCCAATTCCCTGTGCTGGCTGCGCTGATGTTTAGAGCATTGGCTCTGGAAGAGGTATCCTGGCTCTGTGCTCTGGGTACAGAATATCTGTGGAGGAATTTTAACTCGGAACATGGCTGTTCTGGCAAGAGAACACATCCAAAGATCTTCTAGGTCTTTGTGATCCAGATGGAATACCAACGTGACTTTTCCAAGGCCAGCCTGGTATAGAGCAAGTTTCAGGTAAAGAAAATCATAGGAACAGGTGTGGCGGTACACTCCTTTAATTCCAAACAATGAAGGTAAATTTAGTTTGTAGAAGGAAGCATCCACGTTTTTAAAGTGATCTCTAATTGAGTGGCAGAAAAGGTGATGAATCAGAGAAAGAGTTGACAGAATAGGATCTGCCCAACTCTCACAAGAAGAGAGAGGAAAGGGAAGCTACTTAAGGGGCAGTGCAGAGAGGAAAAGACAGTTTTACCAGGACAGTAATAGAGAACTCAGGTGAAGACTGTGTGAGCCAGAGAATGAGAAGGAGCCAGGAAATTAGAGCAGATTGCTAGAGTTAGTTTGAGGCCAAGCAGAGCAATTCAGAGGCTGAAAGAAAAAAAAAAATCAAATTGAATAAGTCAGCTGGGAGAGGAGTTTAGGCCAGAATAGCTGAGTTGAATCAGCCAGCCCAGAGCTCAATAAGAACAAGAAAAGGTGAGCGTATTAGGCAGTAAGTCTCAGAGGCTGAAAACGTTCCAGGCTAGATTGTGTGGAGACTAGAAGCTTCCAGGACTAGGCCTAGGTTAACAGACAGAGGCAATAAGCCTCTAAGACAACATCTAAAACAGAAGAATAAAAGTTACTTCCATAAATATCTGTCTATAGTGATGGTTAGAATCTGAGTCCTGGGTACACAAAATTCTGCCTTAGAGCTAGGGTCCAGAACGTGGACCCTATAAAGGTACAATGACTCCAGGGACTCCAAGGGAACTAGCTATCTCTCTGGAATAGTTTGACTGAAATCTTGAGAAGATCCCATGTGCAGACACATGGGGTCAGGGCCTCAAGGTGAGAACTATATTACAACAGCTCTGGCTTCTGAAGGGAAAACAAAACAACACAAAACCAGCATCAACCTCAGCACCAGGATCCCGGGTGAGGACGCTGGGAGAGCAGCTCCAGCAGAGAGGTTCAGGCCGCTCATGGCCTTGTGGAACTTGGTGGCCCTGGTTCCAGTTCCAGGATGCTACAAGAAGTTGCTCCTTGGGAGGGTTGTGTCAAGCTGTGTCTTCTTTTCCAGGGGTTTGCAGTAGGTACCGCAATGGAAAACAACGCTAATGGCTTCTGTAGACACTGGGGCCACCAAGGGCATTGAGGCCATCTGTGGTTGAGATGGCCACCTCATTTCTATGTGTCCCCAGGCCTTGCCTATCATTTTCTCTGTGTGGATAACCTTGGGTGTTTTGCTTCACTGTTATACTGAAGATTCTTACATGGGTCTGTGTGCCCTCCCAGGACTGTGTTGATTTGTAGATAGCTGTGTGTGGGGCGGGGAGGATGTCGGGGTGCACAAAGTCTAGAATTTTGTACTGCACCGTCTTGCCGACCTCACCTCTCTAGGAAATCCCCACATTTCCAGTACCGCCTTTTAATATCATCTACATTTCGGGAGAAAATGGCCACGTTGTTAGCGGGAATCTATTATTACACAGCACCAGCACCAGCCCTCATCTCCGTCTGAGATGCTTCTTTGAATGGAGCAATGCCAAACAGAGAGACTAGAGGGTGAGCAGGTGAGAGGAGAGGGAGATGAAAGCGAGTGTTGGACAAGCCAGCGCTGCCACCGACACACAGCACACCTAAGGCTACACGAGGTGTTACTCCAAACACTCCATTTACAGAACCCCCTAACCTTCCCATGTTCTGTGAGTGTTATCCTTTATTATTCACACGGCTGAGGAGGCTGAGTCTCGAACATGCCAGTAACTTGCTCACCTCATGGCTGGCCATCAATGGAGTCAAGCAGTCTGGCTCTAGGGTGTGGACTCTAACCTCCTATGTCATGCAACCTCAGAGTTCCCCGTTATTTTTCTCTTTTGGCTCCTTTTATTCCTATGTGGCCATTCTTCATGACTACCTCGTTAGTCAGCCTTTCTGCCTTAACTGTTTGCTCAAGCTCTTCGCCTTGGTTCTGAATCCCAGAGTGTGATTAATTAATTTTTTACCTTTTGATTTTCTTCCTTTCCCCCAATTTTGAATGTACCCATGAGATGCCCATGCAGAAACTGTAACAATGCTAGAGAGTAATAATAATAATAATAATAATAATAATAATAATAATAGCCAACACTATTAACTAGAATTCTAGAAGGATGAATTGTAGGGTTTTTATCCAACTTGATGCAAAATACTTAGTTTTTTGTTTTGTTTGTTTGTTTACTACTTCCCTGAAAAGTAGCCATGATTAGCAACATTTTTCGAACACGTACCAAGTGATTGCTATTATTTCAAGCCCTCTCCTTGTATCAATTCCTGTAATTTCACAAAACCCTGTGAAGTAAGATCTATTATTACCATTCTGATCCACAGCTGAGAAAGTAGTGTAGAGGTTCTAATTAATTTAGTTTCTAATTAATTAATTTGCTCAATAGATGACTACAAATGGAATAAGAATAGGTCTCGAGAGGTTTCAATGTATCCTAACCATTGCACTAATAGAATGTTTTGTCCCGTGCCCCTCACACTATGAGAAGAGAAATACTAACCTTTCCTATTTTTTATGGCAGCAAGGTCTGGTTAGCTTGCCCAGTCTGGCCTAGAACTCAGATTCCTCCTCTGTCCGTCTCTCGACTTCTGGGATCATAGGCATATGCCACCACGCTTTTCCATTTTTCCTTCCTTGACATGAGAGACAGAGTTCTTCTCTGTCAACCCATACCTGCCCCATACGTCACTTCAAAGCCGTTTCCAACAATATTCCCCAAGTGTCAGAAACTCTCACTGGGTTTTCCCTTTTCTGCCTGCTTAGTTCTTTGCTTCTATTTTAGCTCTGTCCCCTCAGAAGTCTACTGGAATTATAAACATTCTCAGGCATCTCCCATTAACTGGAACTTACAATGGGGATTTGTGAATAGTACAAAGCAAGCCTCCCAAACCCTATGACCCTAGATTGGAACTCATATCATAATCAAAGGAAATCTGACCCCTGGGTGCACGGGTCCTGTTCCTGCCTTTCTCAGCCTGGGATGTCCAGGCATGATTCACACCTGTGCCTGTCTCCAGACAGTCTCCCGTGGAAGGAGTGACCCGCTGCCCCCTTGGCAACAGCTCCTTCCAAACTGCCAACACTGCTTCTGCCATATCAACAGTCTAACTTTGAGGGAAAGGCCGAGCTAATTTTCTGGAAAGCAAATAGGAAGTTTTTTTTTTTTTTTTTTTGGCAGCCTGACACCAAGGGGAGGCAGCAAAAGTATAAGAAGCGTGGCTTGGCCAGAAGGAAGAAAGCCAGCGGAGCTGCAGAAGAGATGGTAAGTCTGTTTTTTCTCTGGATGGGAAGTACAAGCGCTGAAGTGGTTTGTGGCTAAAGCAGACAGGAGAAGGGGTTAGAAAGTAAGGAACAGCGATAGCTATAGGGCTCTATGTTGAAGACTTTTTTTTTTCTCTCCTTTCGAAGTGGGGTCTTGTTACCTTAACTCATTAAACTCACTACCCTCCTGTCTTAGCTTCCTGGATAGCCAAGGCTTGTAGGTGCCCATCACCATGGCCATTTTACAAGTGTTTTAAAAAGCCGGCTGATCATTTTGTTTCTTTCAGCATTCTTATAAGTTTGGATACTTTCCATTTTACAAATAGAACCGTGTGGCTTACATGGGACAAGCACTTAACCAATGGCTACACGCTTGTTAAGACCTGAAGATGTTGTCATCTAGATCTCGTTCTCTGGCTGCACGGCGCTGCTTTTCTACTGAAACTTGCAGGACTCCTTGGAGAAGACCTTGGCAAGGCTATCACCCCTTCACTAAGTCCGCCTTTCTCTCTGGGATAAATGGAAGGCTGAGAAAGAGCCTTGGGACATCTTGTACAATTGAACAGCTTCTAGTTCTCAGCATCCCAAACTCTTTCCAAGTATCAGGAGTTTTCTAGGACCGGTTTAGAATGTCCACGTGGTTCCAACTTAAATTGTTGTCTTTAGTGTTACTAAGCCAGTCTTCTCATCTACAAATGGGATGTAATAATAATATTCTTGTACAATATCATAGTAAAGGTTAAATAAGAAAATCGTGCTCTAGAGAATTTATAATCCAAGGCTCATGTGTAAACAGTTGGCAAATTCTAGCTAATGTTTAAGTGAAAGAAAAAACTTCAAAGGTGTGGTGAGGTTGGGGATTGAGGGAATATCCGAAGAAAACTGTGTTTTGAACTGGGGATAAAACACATATAGTTGTGGTACTTCCATGGGCATTTCCAACGTGGTGGGAGTGTTGCAGTCTCAGAATCCAATGTCTGTACCTAAAAAGGCAGCACTCCAGTGTTAACTTTTAGGCATCTTTTTACAGCACTAAAAAAGAAAACCGTGCTTATACACGATCCATCCCTCCTCTCCCCTCTCTACTTTGCTGCAATTCACCTATTCACTCGTGTGTGTGTATGTGTGTGTGTGTGTGTGTGTGTGTGTGTGTGTCTGTCTGTCTGTCTGTTTGTGTGCCTGTGTGTCTGTGTATAGGAAAATAGAGACATGGGGATGAACTTTGAGCCTGCACTATTTAAATCACTATGGCATAAAATGTTATTACTTGTGTCTTTTTGCATGTCATTCTTCCAAATGGGTTGACGTAAGTGAATGAGCCATCAAATTTTTTCCTTCTATTCTTTTTTGGCATCCTCTTCTATTTCAAAGACATTGTGGCCTAGATGGTGGCATTGTTCAGGATCCTGATGAAAGCTACAATTTCTCTGTCTAGATGAAAATACAAATATCCACATAAAATGACCTCTAAAGACAACCATAGGAGGTTCCCAGACTTCCAGTGGGTTCCAGAAGACCTGTAAGATTTTCCCTTCTATGTGTTATACTCAGATGCCCCTCGCTTTTCACCTTGAAACTGGGCTGCTACTCTACAATTAAGGGCTGAGGAGTCATCATACTTCATAGACATATTTCTTCCTCCCTTAAGAGCACATTTGCCTCTTAGGTTTCAGGAACCTCAGCCCGTCTGTGTAAAATCTGATTCATGTTTAGATAGTGGCTTCAATTAGGACCTGAGAGGATGATGTGAAGTTGTACCTGGTGGAATGTTTTCAACCGGTTCACAGGGACCTGCTTGGGGATTTACAGTTAAATTATCCTGAGGTCTGTCAAGGCTTTAGCAGGCCACAGAGAAGCTCTGGATTACTTCAGGTAAACTTTTAACCACTTCAGGCTCCGGCTTCCAGTTTCTACTGTTCTTCTATTATTTCTCACCATATTGTTTTAGGCTGGCAATCAGCTCTTAGAATACACATCTTTGAAGCTCTGTACAGAGAAGATTATTAGTTAAGTCACCAAAAAACTCAAGTGACTTTTGACACAACAGGCAGTGCTAGAGCAAAGCTCCAAGGGAGGCTGATTTGAATAATGATAGCCATGACCTTGGCTAAGGCCTCTTCTGGGAAAGCAAAACAGGTATTTTACAATGTCAAGTGCAAAGAAATCCTTCATAGTTTCTAGGGATGTAACTCAGCCAAGATCTTGTGGTCTTTTAAAAAATTAAATGTGTTTTATTTTAATGATACTATTTCGTTTAACATAATGGGCATGACTAGTTTAATTTAATACATGCCTTGATTCCGAGTGGTCAGATACTGGGACTCATGTTTATTTGAAATCTTCTTGACTTGGAGCTCTTTTCTGGCACTGGGATCTTGCCTTTCCCAACCACCATGCTGAAACGCAAGGGCACTAAGACTGGAACTGTTGCGATGCCTTGTGATAGCTGAGCCTCGCCATTCTGTGGTTGCCTGGCTCTTCATCCCTGATGATGCTTTTATCTTCCTTCTGTTCTCCATTCCCATTGACTCCAGTACATCAGTCCCTCTTTAACTCCCATCAGGACCAAGGTAATAGCCTCTACTTTTTGTAGCCTAGTCTTATTGTCCCTACTTAACAACAATAACACCGCTAGGTGCATCTTTTCACGGGGATGCTCTAGTCAGAGTCCTGGAGTTGGCTCCCTTTTGCTGACTGGCATTTGACACAAGACCTGTCCCCAAGCTACCTTTTCAATTAATCTCCAGAGTCCCAATTTTCAACATCAGTCAGACCACATCATACTTCTTTTAAAGTTGCCCCTGACTTCTTTCTGCACTTAGAATAAGATCTCATCCCTTGCTTTGACTCCCAAGAGCCTGACATCATCAATTCTAGCCTCATTGCTTTATGTTGTTTGATCTTATACCCATTTTTAGGTTAAAGGCTTTCATGTTCTTCTCCCTGATTCCCACTTAGCAGTTTTCTCCAACCATTTTGCTGCTGGATTAAATGTCACCTTCCTGCAGAGGGCTGCCAACAAGTCCCTGACTGACCTATCTCACCGGCCACTCTGTCACACGATCCTATTTTGACTGTTACCTGAACTGCCCTGCATTTTTATATTTGTTCAGCGCTTTCATAAATGCACATTCTTTGAGGATAGAAATTGAGTCTATCCTCAATATTTTAACTCTTCTCCCTGGAAATGGGCCTGAGGTGTTTTAGGAACTTAGTCACTGTTGAAATAACCAGTGGGAAAATAAACAACCCACAGAGATTAACAAGAGAGTAGTTATTTGGTGTGGAGAAGGAAGCAGTCTTGATAGCAAAACTCCTTTCAGGAAAAAGTTACAGACACGGGCAGTCGGGCCGATACACATGAGCACTCCTGTCATAAAGACACAAGGAACGTACAATACATTATGGAAATTATAGCACCTCTTAGTGTAAGTACATTGTGGTGTTGTGAGCAGGATGTGGGTAATTGAAAAATAGCAGCAGGAGAGAGCAGTCACACAGGAAGGAGCCATGTTTGAAAGGGTCTTAGATGTGTATCTCGGAGAGTTTGACTGTGGCTTAGAGATGAGGAGCCACAGGAAGCGTCTGCATGGAGCAGGATGACCTCACTATGCCATGAATGTCATTCTGGGCTGGGGATAGACCTCACTAGCAGGGCGCTTGCCCAGCATTCACTAGATCCTGTGTTTAATCCCAGCACCACACACACACACACACACACAAAAGGAACGAGAGTCATTTTGATTACACTTTAGAGAAACAATTAGCAACAGGTAATCTTCAGGAAAAGAGGCCAATCAGAAGCTGATTTCTCAGGTCCAGAAAAGACATAATGACATTTCAGCCAGCTCTGTGACAATTCAAGTGAAAATTTGGAGGCTGTCCAGGTTTCTCACCAGACGGTAAAGTCATTAGGATTTGTTGATGAGTTCTTGTAAAAGGTTCAGACAAGGTAAAGTTTTCCTGGTCCTTCTTACCTGCTCCTACTTGATGAAGAAGTTCAGGTCGCCATGGCGATGTAAGTGAAGGGGCTCAGATCAATGTCACTGTTTTGAGTATAAGAATTTGCACTGGGTCTCAGTCTCTGCTAAAATACCTCAATCAGTAGAGTCTTCCAGAGGCTGTCTGTGGTAGGCTCCTGTCCTGTTCCCTGTCTTCTCCTGCTTCCGATGACCATTGCGTTTGTCCTTCTGAATGAAGATTGAGCATCTTCCCTAGGGTTCTCCTTGTTGTTTAGCTTCTTTAGGAGTATAGATTTTAGTATGTTTTATTCTATATTATGTGGCTAATATCCACTTAAGAGTGAGTATATACCCTGTGTGTTTTTCTGCTTCTGGGATACCTAATCAAGATGATCTTTTCTAGTTCCTACCATTTACCTGCAAATTTCATGATTTCCTTGTTTTTAGTTGCTGAGTAGTATTCCATTGTGTAAATGTACCACAATTTCTGTATCCATTCCTCAACTGAGGGACATCTAGGTTGTTTCCAGATTCTGGCTATTATGAATAGAGCTGCTATGAACATGATTGAACAAATGTCCTTGTTGTATACTTGAGCATATTTTGGATATATGCCTAGGAGTGGTATAGCTGGATCTTGAGGAAGCACTAGTCCTTATTTTCTGAGAAAGTGCAAGATTTATTTCCAAAGTGGTTGTACAAGTTACATTCCCACCAGCAATGGAGAAGGGTTCCCCTTTCTCCACATCCTCTCCAGCATGTGTTGTCACTTGAGTTTCTAATCATAACCGTTCTGATAGGTGTAAGGTAAAATCTCAGGGTCGTTTTGATTTGCATTTCCCTGATTTCTAAGGAAGTTGAGCATTTCTTTAGGTGTTTCTCTGGCATTCGATATTCCTCTACAGAGATTTCTCTGTTTAGCTCTGTACCCCATTTTTAATTGGATTGCTTGGTTTCTTGGTGTTTAACTTAAGTTCTTTATATATTTTGGATATCAGCCCTCTGTCAGATATAGGGTTGATGAAGATCCTTTCTCCAT